TGCTTATAATAAATACTTGAAAATGTGGAAATGGCTTTGGAACTGGGTGTTGAGGAGAGGTTCGAGGAATTTGGAGGAAGAGACTAGAAAAGGCCTAGATGCTTGTGAGAGTTTAGAAGACAAGAAAACCCGGGAAAGTTTTAGAGATTGGTTAAATGGTGGTGACCAGAATGCTTATGGAAATATGGACTGTAAAGATCATTCTAAGGAGGTCTCATATGGAAATAAGGAGTTTTTTGGAAATCGGGGCAAAGATCACCATTGCAATACTCTGACAAGGAGCTTGGCTGGCATTCTGTTCATGCCCGAAAGCTTTATGGAATGTGGAACTTAAAGATGCTGAACCAGGGTGTTTGACAGAAGAAATTGCTAAGCAGCAAAGTATTAAGGAAGCTGCATGGCTACTTGCAACAGCCTACACTGAGTTATGGCCAAAGAGGCATGACATAAAGTGAGAATTTATAATTAAAAGAAAAGCAGAGTGTAAAGATTTGGAAAATTTGCAGCCTGGCCATGTGGTAGAGAAGCAGAGAGCATTTTCAGTAGAAAAATGCAGTGGTACTAAGAAGATTAGTACAAAAGAAAGGGATTATCAAGAGAGTGGCTGAAAGGCTTTGAAGGCAATTCAGAGATCTTAGAGGCTGAGTCCTCTGTTACAAGCCCAAAGGCCTAGGGAGACAGAATGGTCTTGGGGAACAGGCCTGAGGTACCCTCTACTGGCTCTCTGCCCACGGCCACCTTGGGATGCTGCTCTCCACCCCAGCACCCTAGATGCTTTGGCTGTTCCAGCCATGGCTAAACTGGCCCCAGGCATGGCTGGACCCACAGCTTTGAAAGATATAAACCGGAAGTCCTGGCAGCATCCATGTGATGTCAGGTCTGCAGGCTTGCAGGATGCCAGAGCTGGGAAGGCTTGGGAGCCTCCACCCAGATTTCAAAGGGTGTGTGGAAAAGCCTATGGGCCCTGGAAGAGGTCTGTCCCAGGGGCGGAGCCACCGTAGACAGCCTTCTCTAGAGTAATGCCATGCAGAAATGTGGGGTTGGAGTTGCAGCAGAGAAACCCCATCAGCACCATGCCTAGTAGAGCTATGAGAGCAGGACCACCATGGAGACCTCAAACCTGTGGAGCTACCAGCATGCAGTGCCAGCCTGTGAGGGCTGAAGCATGGCCTCATACCAGGAAAGCCATAGAAGCGGAGCTGCCCAAGGAATTGGGGACCTGCCTTGTATTCAGTCTCCCCTCAAAACTTAATCCCTGCTGTGACTGTTAAAAGGATGGAAAATCCTATTATGGTAATTGGAAGGTGGGACCTTGAAGATGTGATTGGATTCTGAGGACCATGTCTAGTGAATGGATTAAAAATGGTGGGCATGGACATGATTCTGAGGGCCATAAAAGGAAAGTGCATGAGGAACTCTCTGGGTCATTGTCAACAGCACCAAGACCCTCACCAGATGTGTTCTCTGGACTTTGGGCTTCCCACCCCCCGAAACTGTAAGCACTAAATTTCATTTTGTTCCAAATTAGTTCCGTGTACTTTGTTATAAGCAACAGAAATGGACTAATACAGTAGCTGAGGCAGTAATGTATGGTGATCCAGTGCACCAGCACTGGGAGTTGCATAGTCCATGACCAAGCAGCCTGTCTCAGATTTCTGCAAGAAGCCAGTCTTGTGTATCTGCCTCAGATAGGTCACCACTCACTCTGAGTGGTCTTCCTATTGGCAGCAGAAGGAAGAACAGGTATAGGCCGTGAGTGGGTGGTATGAAAGGCTGCTTCCTGGTGGTGGGGATGAGCATGGTGTTAGAGGTGGTGGTGGTGGTGGTGCTGGCAGCAGCAGTGGACATGATGAGGTGGGTGAGGCTAGCTTGCTCTAGGGTGCTCTGAGTTATGGTTCTTCAATTAAACAGATCCACTTCTGGTGCTCTTGATTCTTTAAAGTCTACTTTCCATATGGAATCATTTCCCTTTGGCATGAAGAACATCTTTAGCATACTGGGTAGTGCAGTCCTGTTGGCTGCGAATTCTCTCACTTACGCATATATGAAAATATCCTTATTTAACCCTCATTTTTGAAGGATATTCTAGTCTCTTCCCCCGAAGTCCCCAAGCAACCACCGATCTGCCTTCTGTTGCTCTAAATAAGTTATATTTTCAAGAATTTCATATAAATGGAAATGTACAGTATGTACTCTTTTATTTGTCTAGCTTCTTTCATGCAGCATAATTTTGAGATCCATGTTGTGTGTACATCAGTAATTCATTCCTTTATATTGCTGAGTAATATTTCATTCTGTGGCTATACCACATCAATCTGTTGATGGACATTTGGGAGATTCTATTTTTTTAGCTATTACAAATAAGGTTGCTAAGAATATTTGTGTACAAGTCTTTGCATGGGAATGTTTTTTTTTTTTTCTCTCTTGGGTAAATACCTAGAAGTGGCTTACTGGATCATATAGTAGGTGTATGTTTATATTTTTACCAAACTCTTTTGTAAAGTAATGTACCATTTTACATTCCCACCAACTGTGGTTAAGTAATCAGGGACATACAATTAAATGAGGCCCTCTTTGCTTCCAGACTTTCCATTCTTCAGCTATTTACTGTACACAACCACAAATTGAATTCCAAGTCATGCAACATGGACTTTCTTGTGGGAGCAAGGTGTTCTGGAGTTGGCCTCAGGGTTATTTATTAGAGAATTCTGTGGCCTGGGGAAGTTGGAATGTAGTCTGGAGAAGGGAAGTTTTGGCCATGGGTAGGCATATTCCCTTGGACCAAAGGATTTTTTTTCCTGTGTGGAGGGGTATGGCAAGATGACCAGAAGGAGACCGTCTATAGCATGGGGCTCAGGACAGTGCCTCTCTTTCTCAGGTCTAAGGACAGTACTGCTTCCCTCTTTTCTGATCTACACAAATTCTAACCATCTTTAAAAACCCATCTGAAGTCCTCACTTATATCTTCTGTCATTGTTGCAGTTCTGTGTATCTCCTTCCTCTCAGTCATTTGCTACATGTCTTTTATATGTTTAACTTTTCCAATTTGTCTATAAACTTTTGAGTCACTCTATCATTTTTACTTCATGTGTCCTACTAAGTATTATGTAGACAAATGTTGTTCTGAAATGTTTGAATGAGTGAGTGCTGCGTGGTACTCGCTGCTTTTTCTTAGCTCCGGGGCTGTGGTATTAAGCTCGAGCCATCATCCAGCCCACTTCTGCCCTTACACACATGGCACCACGTGTGCACCTGTTACTGCCTGGCCCACGCTCCACGCCGTCATCCTTTGCTGAGTGCTCATCCTCAGCTGACCAGCACTACAAAACTCTCTGTACTTATACCCTCATGTTTTACTAACCTACTGTAAATCTCGGTTTGTTCTTCTGATCTCATCATTGTCTTTTTAGACTACTTCCTTACTAAGTATATTAAATAACCAAGACATGAAGAGGTAATTTTTTAATCAGGTTTCTGATTTTCCCAGTGTTGGCTGTATTTCTGTCTGTCATTTTGGTCAGCAGAGACTGGCCACAAACCTTCCCAACTGAGTCATGCCTCAGTGTATTTGTCTAATCTTTCTTGTCCAATCGTTCTTCCTGATGTGCCTTTCCTTCTCTATGGAGACAGTGTCCCAGCATCTTTCAAAATTCAGCGACAGCATCACCTCTTCCTGGAAGACTTCTCTTTTCAATAAATCTAAATGAGAGTGCTTTCTCTGTCTTCTTATAGCTCGTCTTTGTAAACCTCTCATAATATTTAAGATACTGTATACTGTAATTTTTTTATTTGTCTATTACTTTCTCTAGACTGAAAAGCGTGTGAAGATAAGGGACCATGCCTCATTTGACTTTGTGTTCTGGCATCTAACATAGTGTTGGTATATAGTAACGCTCAATAATTGGTTAATGAACCATCAAGTTAATGAATGAAAGAACGGGATGCCCCTTTTACTTGTCTCTAAATTCTCTGCTCTCTTCATACCCTCCCATCTTCTACTTTTGTTTCTACTCTTCTTCCACTGTGACTCAATTTCTACAATATAGAAATAGTATGAGCATTTTGGCCTTTAATTAGAATTTTCCTAGCTCTACAGAATGTTGGAAAATGGATTTTGAACCTTTGCAAAGAAACTGAAAAAGTTTAAACACCTGTTCGTGGATGAGGCAATGGAAGAAAAATTTCATTACATTTGTTATGAGCCTGAATACATCCATGAGGTTAACATTTTATTTGCTCAAAAATGAGAGGCCACTGGACAGATTTGCCCGATTCTAAGGGCAACACAGTTCATACGCTGTCACGCTCAGATGTCAGGTCACTAACGTTTCTCAAGTCTGGAGGTCTCCTGAGATGCCCTACCTGGAAACTGAAGATAAAAATACTGTTTAAAAACATCAAAGCTTGGTATAGCCCAAATACCTTATAGTTCCTAATACACTGGCCAGCAGTAGTAAGTCCTTGTAAACGTTAGTCTCTAAACCCCATCCTCCTTCCCAAGCTTCCTAAACCTCCCAAAGACCTGAGTTTCCTAGAAATTTCTCTCAGGATCAAAGTCACAAATAAGGAAAGGTCCAAACTATGGGTGCAAATCAGCACCCATGTACATCCTCTTTCCAGATATCATCTGCTTACACACAGCTCCTATTAATTGCAACAATGGAAGTTGCTTGTGGAACAGCTTTACCTCTAAGCATTTTAAAGGTAAATGGAATTACACTCAATAAGTCTTCAGTGTTTAAAAGCACCAAGCCTGTTTTCCAGGATTCTTGTTGCCTAAGGAAATGAAAGAGGGATTGTTTCCTTTCAGATCCCTACACGCATGTGAAAGGTGAGGCTGTGTTTACTGGTTCACTTTCCCTAAGTCTTTGTAGTCAAAAGTCCTTGAAGCTGGGACTCTTGGAGATTCTGTCAATTACATGTTGGTAGTGGTGTGTTTTGAGAGTTTAAAAAAAAAAAAACAAATACTTAAATCATTTTTTCTTTCTCTTTTCAGGAGCATATAATGGCCTTTGATGATGAAATCAATGCTCTTTTGGACCATATGTTTGGACCTCGAGGTGAGTGAACTACTTGAGAACTTAACGTGGAAGGAACAAAAGGGAGAATGTCACTTAGTTATAGAGAAGGGTTGTTATTTCCAGTGTCCTGAAAATACAAGGGCACTTCCAAAAGTTTGTGGAAAAACAGAATTGAAAATTACTATGATAACGGGTACGAAACTGTGCTGTCTACCCTAAGGGAATCATCGTGCAGTGTATGCATGTGTTGAAACAAGGCTTCCCCTTCTAAAGTAGGTCCCTCATTATTCTCTGTCATCCCATGCTTATGTCCTTTATGTCCTTTATTGTTATTAATAGCTATTTCTCCCCTGAGGGCAGGAACCATGACTGTTTTACCCACCGTTCATCTACAGGGCTTACTGCAGTTCTGGGAACATGTTAGGCACTGCGTATTTTGCAAATGAATGAATGAATTCTAGACAAAGTGTTTTGTTTTACTTGAGCCTTGCTGGTTCACAAAACTGTGGAAAATCCATAGTTCTCTCACAAGTCATCTCCTCGGCACTATTGCTGGTCAGGGGAGAAGTGAGGAGGTTTTTATGTTTCTCAAAATCTTTAAACCATCACTTAGAGATTATTCAGACCATTCTCCAGTTTCTATACAGGCTCCATAAGCTATTCCAAATGAATGACTATTTATGTAGTTTTAATATAACTATACTGATTGTATACAGCTTTAAAAAATACTTTCAGATAGTTTTTTGTTTTTTCCATTTTCTCCTTGTGCTGATCCTGTGGGGTAGGCAGGGTAGAAAGTCTCTGTGTTTGTAACCGACTTTAATATGTTCTTTCCTTACAGTCCTGGTGGGTGGGAAGGAGAAACTCAGTGGAGGGGCACAGCCTCTAATTTAGGCATGCAGGACGTGGGGAGGGGCTGTGGCTCCTCCTCTGTGGCTTTCTGCTTGACACTTCCACTAGAGAGTTAAAACAACAGTCTCTCTGAGCCAGGTTCACACTGACCTTTGTATCTGTAGATCAGTGCGCTCTGGAGCTATGCAGATTGGGATCAATTGAGGAAAGAACTGCAGTTGTTTGCTCCGCTTTGGTAGTTTTTATGGAAGTTTCTTTTGTAATAGGGAGATTGTAAAATTGACAATTGACAACTGTTATCAGATGACCTCCACAGTGACAGGGCGTCTAGCATCTAAGCCATCCAGAATCCTTTTCCCTCTCTCAAAGTGACACAAGCTTAAGTTGACTGGCGCATCACCTAGTAAACTTCTAGATGTCCCCTAGTCTTTTCTGATTTTGCCTGCACCATATATTAGTACCATCAAAGCATATTGTTCTGGGAAAATACCTGACACAGATGCAGAGCTCACATTTCTCAAGCGCAAAGATAAAAAATGTAGCTACAAATATTTGTTCCCATCTTTTGGTTGAAATGGTTATGATTGTCCTTCACAACTGTAGCAAACACATGGGACCATAACAAAAGAGTATTAAAAACTTCAGGTGCTGTATTAGTTTTGCGCCGTGTGCTTGATTCAGTGTGCAGGCTGAGATATATTTAATGAATGGTTCCTCCTAACTCAGGGTGTAAGTTATGAATAAGATGGTGTAGAGATATAAGACCTAGTTGTAGTCTCATGGAGCAACTCTCATGGACACAAAGCTGGGGAGGTAAAACCAGCACATCTGAAACAACTGGAAAGCAATTAATACTAAACCACGTGTATTCATTTCCTAGGGTTGCCATAACAAAGTACCACAAACTAGGTGGCTTAAAATAACAGAAATGTATTCTTTCACAGTCTGGAGGCTAACAGTCTGTCCATAGGGCCCTGCTCCCTGTGAGGTTTTAGGGAACAATCTGTTCCACGCCTCTCTCCTGGTCTCTGGTAGTCGCTGGTGATCTTTGGTGTTCCTTGGCTTGCAGATGCATCACTCCCACTTCTGCCTTTGTTTTCATGTGGTTTCTCTGCTTGTGTTCCTGTATTCAAATCACCCCTTCTTATAAGGACACCAGTGTCAGGTGAGGGCCCACCCCAATCCTGCATGATTATCCTCATCTTAACTTGATTACATCTGCAAACACTCTATTTCCAGATAAGTTCACATTCCCAGACACCAGGAGTTAGGTCTCAAACGTATCTTTTTGGGAGATAATTTAACTTACAACACCATAACAGGTAGAGTAGCAGTTTAGTGTAAGTCACTTCACTTTTCTACCCTCTGTGGCCCAATTTTTCTCAAATGTAAACTGGGGCTAATATCCCCTGTATAATAGGATTACTTTGAGAATTAAATAAGTTAATACATGTAAAAGGCTTTAGAACAGTGCCTGGCACAGAATAAGTGCTCAGTAAAGGTTAGTTATAATAGTATTATAGCCATCATGATATATAAACTATAAAATGATAATTATTTTGCTATGCAAGGAGGAGCTGTAGTTATAAAAGAGCAGTAGGAAGTGGTTCCTTCAGAAGGCAGGACCTTTACCTGGGCATTAAAGGATGAGTAGGATTTTGAGATGAACATCGGAAGTGGCACATAGCACAGACTTGCATGACAGGCAATGCCAGCTAGCGGTACGATAGGTAACATCTGTTAGTCACATGAATGCTGAGAAGAGCTTTTTTACCTTTTTATCTCTATCACCAATGGGAGAAGTTTACAAAATACGTAAAGGGACGGTTAGAGCTTGAGAAAGCAGGTTCCTCTAGAAATGGTGCTGTCTGTAGGGTAGGTGGTTTGACGAGAGGCTGAGGGTGGACGGGGTAGGGTATACCAGGAGGAGGGACTGGGCTGGGAGAACCAAAGAGATCAAGAAAGGGACATCACTTGTTGGTGAAACCGGTCCTTACAACTCTTTAAAGAGATTTTTAAAAGCAAGCCATTTTTATAATTCTAGGCCAAATTATATTATTTAAACAAAGAGAGAAGAATGGAGAACAAAAATAATTTTGCGCCTACTATTATTTTCAGGTGTTACTAATTATAGGTCTATCATATGCATTTTATTTAGGCTTTCAAATTTTCACTCTCCAGGGTAAGGGGCACTTGATGTATCTGGGTTCTTGCCTTCCTGCTGTTTATACTTCTTGTCCCCTGGCCAGGTCTGGGTCCTTGGTTTTCTTTTCTACTCTCAGTTCTGAATCATCCACTCCAAGGCTCTATCTCTGCCACCTCCAGCTTCTCATGCTTGCTCTACTACAATGCCATTGCTCTGTTTGGATCACTGAACTGTAATCCCATTCCTGGCTTACTGTACAATGATCCTAGGCAAATTCTGGCTAGTGTGGGCTTTAGGAATTGGGATACAACATAAATATGCCTTCTCTCCAGTGACTTCACAAATCTTCTTCCTGGGAAGACAGCAAGCAGTAAGGTATGATGGGCTAGGGGGCAGATGTGAATTCAAATCCTGACTCTGCTGCCAACAACTGTATGGCCTTTTGCAAGTTACTAAAGCTTTCTGAGCTGTTTTTTTATCCATAAAATGGCATAATAGTGCTTACTTCATATTAATTGAGTTAGAATAAATGCAGAAACTGTTCCAAAGTAGGCATTTAAGAACTGTTACTTCCCACCTTTAGTTCTTTTCCCTATCATTCAATGTTCAGATTAAGCCCTGTTTCTCCATGAAACCTTCCTTAACTATTGAGTTCCCAGTGGTTTCTTCTTCCCCTGAACTGTTACCCAAATCTAGCTTATTTAATGCTGTGCCATATTGTTGCCTGTTGTGTTTGGTGTGTATGAATAAAATACATGTGACAATACTGGTAACTGAACAGCAGTGTACTTTGTAGGATTCTCACTGCCTGTGTTTCTTTTCAGATTCTCGAGTCAGAGGGTGGTTCATGTTGGACTCGTACCTTCCCACCTTTTTTCTTACTGTCATCTATCTGCTTTCAATATGGCTGGGCAACAAATACATGAAGAACAGACCTGCTCTTTCTCTCAGGGGTATCCTCACCTTGTACAATCTCGGAATCACACTTCTCTCTGCATATATGCTGGCAGAGGTAGGTGTTTATGTAGCTGAAGCTGGAGTCCAGTAACTGAGCCATCTTTAGAAGCAATCACATCTAGCCTACCAGACCTATCCGAGGTTGCTACTAATACCAGTCTTTAAGATGTCAAGAACTTGTTCCAGAGTTTGTTATTACTCCTTCCAAAAGTCCTGGAAGTCCTTATTTCTAACTTGAATATTTTTCATCCCAATTTAGGCCTATTTCTTTAGTTCTCAGTCTAATTGTAATTTAGAATCACAATTTAGATCTGAATGGGCCTTCACATCATGTGTTACAATTCTCTTCTTTTACAGATTATGATACTGAGGCTTCAAGAAGTTACATAATTTGCCTGAGAATTGACAATGATTGAGAAACAAAGTATTTTAAAAATTAAACATCAAATGCAGTTAGTTTGACTGAAGTGCGCGCGTGCGCGCACACACACACACACACACACACACACACAAAGAATACACCCCACATCTTTGGAACACTTTGCCAATGGTAGAGCTGTTTCTCACGACCCACTTCTGGAGGCCTGAGCTGATCTTACAGCTCAGCTCTAGCCACCCTCATTACAAAGCACGAAACCCAAGTAATTTTATAAGAGACAGATCAAGTAATGATTGCCCTGACTATATGACCAAGAGTTATTTTACCATAATACAAGGGAAAATCTAAAAGTGTTAAACTTGCTCTAGGAAAACAAAAAGAGACAGACAGACAAAGGGAATAAAAATTAAAATCTTTTTTAGGCAAAAGTCAGAATAAAATCATTCATATAAGTTATACAGACAGCTGATAAAGGCACAAATGTAGGTACCTTTCTGGTGTATTTGAATTCTAATGAAAATTAATTCTTGCCTTAAAATATAGTTTTCTCACCCAGAGTTTATCTTGTGCATTATTCTAATATGCACCTTTCTAATGATGGTTAATAACCAGTACTTGAAATGACTGGAGTGAAGCACTAAGAACGGAATTTGAGACATCAGTGAGAGTGCAGGAGATGGAATTTGGGGTCAGGAAGGCCATGCTGACACCTCTGAAATCACATCCCATGGGTGCTCACCAGTTTACCTTACTCTGAAAGGACAATTTTAATTTTAGGTTCTTTACGAGGTGAATTTTAGCTCAGTAGATGAGCTTGCAAACATACTTCTCTATATAACAGAGGAAAAGACGCTCTTCCCTTGACTGTTTTTCAGAAGTAGCAGCTGCATCAGAGGGGCCAGGCCGGCTGTGTAACCACATCAGCAGCTGTCATACGTGTTCAGACTGAGCTTTGGTGTAGTGGGGTCAGAACTTTCAACTCTGTCACTTTCTGTGTAATTTTAAAGGAATTACTTTGGCTTTCCAAAACTTTAGGCAACTTATACTGTAAACAGAAGATGCAATATTTATCCTACTTGTTTTTTTTTTGGTACAGCTGGCAGAGGTCTGAACCCTTGACCTTGGTGTTATAACACCACACTCTAGCCAACTAAGCTAACCAGACAGCCCATACACAACTCTTCAGTGAGTTGTGAGGATTAGTGAATTCTGTTCAGCCAACATTTAGTGAGCTCCTACGAGGGGCCCTGAACTATCTGAAGCCCTGAGGAACAAGATGCATAAGTAAGACACGGCTTCTGCACTTGAAGAGCTTACAGCTGGTACACAGTAGAGCTGATAAATGTGAAAATACTTTGTAAATTGTAAAGTTCTAGTTGAACAGTACTCACCATCAACAGGAACAACCAACAGTTTAGTTTTTGAAAACCAAGTAAATGGTCCTGTCTTTTCTCAGAAGAACATCTCTGCACTGAGCCCACTCCCTGCTACTTTTCTCTTCTCACACTTTTGTACTGCTTGGTTCAAAATCACTGTGACTGATCACCTCCCAGCATCCTCTCTTTGATTGTAACCTCTTTCAGGCAGGTGTAAGATTTTGTCTTTGACACTTTGGGGGTACATTTGGTAAACATTAGTCAAGTGACAGAGTGATTTAAGCTTGCTAACTTATGCCCCGCCAGATGTTTGCTTAGGCCAGGAAGTCACTGCAGTAATTAACATTCATTCAGCAGTTCCTATACTATGTCATATTCTCTTCTAGAGCACAACCTTTGCTCTAGAGCAAAAAAAAAAAAGCATAGAATTTATAGAGCTTTTTGTTTCTATGAGAGTCATGTGGAAGATAGACTTTAATCAAGTAATCACATAAATTGATTACCAGGTAGCATAAATACAATGAAGAAAATGTTTAAGGAACCTTTCTGAGCCCTGTTTTTCATATCTGTAAAATGGAAATAAATATGTATTTCATGAAATAATGGAGGTGATCAAATACGATGTTCATATATAAACCACACAGAATATTAACATTTTAGTGTAATTTCCTCACAATTGTTTACATTCAATTAATTCTACATTTTACTTAGAGAAACATGACTTTTTTCATATATAAAATTTTGCTTCTCAAATGATAGCTATATTTTGTTGCTTTTGGCTGATGTAAATGGCTAGAAAATATATTAATTAGGGAATATAGCCATTGATTTCAGTTCAACAGCAAGAATTAAATCCCTTGATAATGTGTGTTTGAGGATAGGATTGAGTCAGAGTCAAATTCTGGGAAGTTTCTAGTCAAACCTTGAATAGATGACAATCGGAGACATAAATGAGAAATTCAGTTTGTATCCAAATTCTTGTATTAACTTTTTCCCTCCTTTCTTGATTCTTTGGCAGCTCATTCTCTCCACTTGGGAAGGAGGTTACAATATACAGTGTCAAGATCTCACCAGTGCAGGAGAAGCTGATATCCGGGTGAGCCATTAGAAGCAAATCGGTTACCTATAACCATTTCTTATTGAAAAGGAAAGGTGGCTTTCTCCTTCCAGATGTGAGGGTGAGACTGGGATTAGATAAGAAAGATTCCTGTCCTAATAGAAATGCTTGGTAACAAAAATGTTTTTCAAATGTCCATCTGCAGGGGACTGACTGAATAAACCATAACACATCCCTATAACGGATGCCTCTACAAAATGGAATGAAGATCTCTTGTACTGTGATAGAATTGTCTTCAGGATATATTTAAGTGAGAGAAAGCAACTTGCAGACTCTGTTTATAGTATAATACCTTCTGTGCAAGCAGTGATATGAATATGTATGTGTATTTGTAATATATATACCTATATACTTAATATATAGGTATATATATATATTGCAGAATACAATCATTATATAGATATACCTATATATTAAGTATATATATTACAAATACACATATTCACATACCTATATATTAAGTTGGTGACATAATCACCCAAAGTATAATAATTTCAAATGAGTTTAAAACACAGTATTTGACTGGACATCCATAGTGGGATATAGCTTAACGGTATTCAGTAGTTTTTTGTTTCCTATTGTTAATAGTAATGTCGGTATTGCTTTCTTGAGACTGTTATAGGCACATCATAGGATAAAGTATGTAACAGTGTTATTATTAGGAACTCACATTTGAAACATAGAAGAAAAAAGATACCAATAAAAAAGTTAAACTAAAACCCAGTAATCATAGATCCAAATTATAGATTCACATTATAGATTGGAAATAGAATTAACTTTATTCTTTCTAAAAAATAAAAGCAAACTTACTTCTTAGCTCTGTCTACAGAAAAAGCTTGTTTAGTCTATGACAGCCCAGTACAATAAGCAACGATTACCTAAATTGTGCTCTCTAAATATAATTTTCTATGAGATAGGATTAGAGTTCTTAGAGAATTGGCCAATTCCCGGTTTGGGGCAGGAAATGTATATAAAATGAATCCAGGACATCTTGTGACAGAAAGCAAAGAAGCTACCCAAGACTCCTAGGGTCACAACAAGAAGATACAGGAGGCACCTTGAGGAGTCCCCCAGTGGCTAAAGATGGGGCAGTTTGAGTATCAAAAAGAATATTGACTGGAATGGATTGAAATAGATTAAATATATGAAAAAGTGAGTTTAAAATGATACTTTTAAAATGTCTTATTGTTACCTTTTGAAGGTTGCTAGAACACCAACTCATTTTAGAAAAAAAATTAGAAAGAGTTAAACATTTATCTTGCCTTTCATATGTGAAATTCCAAATAGATGAAGAGGGAAAGTTCTTCTCTATGGAAGAAAAAAATGCATGAGCAACACCAGATTTAGAAAATCGCCATTTTGTAGCACCTTGAGAAATAATGGGTCTAGACAGCAGTCATCTGAAATGATACAACTATTGGGTGAGGGTTGAATGGAAACTTAACGATGGTTGGACTAAGCTATAAACACCTGAATTCACTGTCAGTCTAAGTGCAACAGCCAGAAATTATGCACCTGCTGATGTAATACAGTAGGAGGCACACAGAAGCCCCTCTGAGGTCTTCTGGCCAGAAAACATTAAACCTGAATCTAATCAAGTCCCTAAATCTAACTGTTAGTCACAGAAAACGTGGAGGTAGAAAAACAAGTTAAATGGCACTAGGAAGAAACCATCATCCAAATCCGTAATATTAGAAATTCTATACAAATGATCTAGTTTTTCCAAGAAATAAAAGACATGAAAAGAGGAGCAAGGAGAGGGAACTGTTATTGACAGAGGGGACTTAAAAACCATATAAAACAAAAGCAAGGTGGACCTTGTTTGGGTCCTGATTTGAGCAAACAAACAAAAACCATTTTTGAGACAGGGAAACTTGAACATGGACTGGATTATTAGAAGATATTAACAAATTGTCAATTTTATTAGACAAGATAGTGACTTTGTGGTTATGTTAAAACAAGAACAAAACGTCTGTTAGAAGTATTTATAGATATAATACGATACCTTGGATTTGTTTATAATATTCTCCCCCCCCCCCCGAAAAAAGTATTGGGAAATGGAATTGATGAAATAAGATCAGAATCATATTGAAAATTCTTGAAGTTCAGTGATGGGTGATGGATATACAGGGTTCATTCTACTTATTCTCTCTGCATTAGTGAATGTTTAAAAATTTCTGTAATTAAAAAATATGGGTTTTAACAAGAGACGTAGAAGCTATTTAACTAAAATCTTCAATATTAAAATGTACATTTTTAAAAACATCTTCAAAGCTGTAATACAAATAAAGTAAGACATATCAATTTCTCTATACTTATTTTATTTCTAATGCATTATCACAGACTAGTGCATTTGGGGATACCATTCAGTTCCCTAAAGGTGGTTGCCTTATATTTGTTTATTTGTGGTTTAATATTTTTAAAGGTTAATTATTCCATTGGACATTAAGATGGATGCCACCACACCATATGGTTATCTTCTTGAGAAGTAGAGCATGATATTTCTAATTTCAAGATTCCTATTATACAGTCTCCAAAAATGTCTTTTTAAATACTAGTGCTGAAAACACAGTGCCTTTAACTAAAGAAGTGTTTTCCTGTAGATGAGACTGTATAAGGCACTTAGGAGGGGAAGGAAGTGGGAGTCATGACCTCCTACTGTTAGTAAGAATGAAGAACATCTCGATTTGTCATCTTTTCATCTGAGGGAGAGACATGAAAGATGCAGTCACGAACTGCCCTAGGGTAGTATCATGTTTAAGAGATGAAACATATGTACATTACAGGAGCAGAGAAGACTATAACTTAGCGTGGCCAACAGTAATGACCTCCTGCTGAGTGCTAGGCACTGAGCAGATGTGAATGAGACAGTTTCTGCCTTTGAGTGATTTGCAGAGTGTTGATACTTTATTATGGCTACTGATTGTAGAGGCATAGTTAGTAATTTGGGAATACAAATGACGAAGCAATTGGTTCAGCCTGAGAAAGGAAAGGAGAGGACTGGGTCAATTTCCAGAGAAAAGGTGGCATGTAAGAGGGGTATTAAAAAGATGGTTAGAATATGCCAGACGTAAGGTAGGAAGGGAGCATTAGATGCAGAGAGGAGTGTTCAGTAGTCAGGAAGGGGTAAACAGGCCACTTTAACAACACCCGGAAACCCCGGTTTGGAGAATGGTGGAAAGATCCATACTTTCAAGAAGTCCACGAACTTTTTGAAGACCTCTCATTAGCAGCCAGCACAAAACTGGGAAAGGTCCTATATGCAGGCCAGAGTCATGGACTCACTTCTGTAGGGGCAGAAGAGCCACTTGATTGCGTGTATATTTTGGAAAGCTAAACTCATCTTTTGCTAGAAGGAGGTGGATCGTGGAATAAAGAGAAATGAGGCAAAGACACCAGGTAAGCTGCTTTTTCACCAGTCTGAGAAAGAAACGCGCACCAGGAAAGCAAGACGGCACAGGGAATGCTGGGAGGTAGGCAGCTCAAGGAACGTTTTCATTTCTTACCATTTTCCCCTTTTAAAATTTTTATAGGTAGCCAAGGTGTTATGGTGGTACTACTTCTCCAAATCAGTGGAGTTCCTCGACACTATTTTCTTTGTTTTGAGAAAGAAAACAAGTCAGATCACTTTTCTTCATGTATATCATCATGCCTCTATGTTTAACATCTGGTGGTGTGTTTTGAACTGGATACCTTGCGGACAGAGTAAGTGCGTTTGTTAATTTTTCAGTTCTGGAGTGGATCTCACAAGAGCACGAGTGCGTCTCTCGTACTGAGCACTGCGTGTGGATCGGGAGGGAGGGAGGCCACAGAAGAGCAGCCCTGCACACCAGCAAGCACATGTTTGCCAGTGGCCATCTAGTTTCTGCTTTTCAACTTGGTAGAATCTGAGCCTAACCTTAAATTTTAGAAATATTTTTTCCCATTCACCAAATGTCAGATGGTCTTTAGCTGGAGCAGTTTTACTCTAATACCAGGCATTGTTTAATTCCTGTGGAAATACGGCTCCTTCTGCAGTCACCACTTCCCTGTGTCACAGATTGGGTCGTTCCAACTTTTAGGGCTTCTAGTTTTTATATTCTGAAAAATGAAGGTTACTTCTCTGTGTGCCCCACCAGAGCAATGACTTTTTTTTTTTAAGAAATACATTTTGTATCACAACCCAATGCACTCATTCATATGTTTTGTATGAAACAAAGATTTCATGAAACAGTATTTATTCTGTGGTATTTTTTAAGAAATCTTATTTCACTTTTACAAAAAGCTGATGACAACTACTGCACTGACTTCACATTTTACTATTGGGTTGGTCAGTTATGGCTCACGCTTCAAGAAGCACTGAGCTAGAGAAGCAGTACTTTCTGTTTGATACTGTCTTGCGCCCAAGAATTTAAAAATATTCTATGAAAAATCAGAACAGGTCAAACTTAAGTCAAAGTGATTTTATCCTAGGATTTAGGATCTTACAGAGATGATATTAGAAAAAACACCCAGGATATTTGGAATATGTCAGTGACTGTAGAGGTGCAAGTGAAAACTACATGCAAAGAAGGAAATTACTGGGGTGGGGTGGGACAGAAAGAAGTCCTTTTTACACTTGTCGACAGACAGAATCTCGTTTTTTGGGTTTAGTTATTAAGGAAGCAAGACCCATTAATATCAAAGGAGAATCACCAAGGATAAGCATTTCTTACGATTGTCAACAGTTTCATTACAAATCACTAAGCATCTAAAACTCACTCGGATTGTCACTGTGTAAAGATGTAGCCCTGTTTGTATACTATGTGTGTGACAATTTCTGTTTGAGAATATTATAGAAATTATAAGCAACAACTAGTCATTGTTCATTAATTGAAGGAAATGAAAACTCAGGTGGGTAAACAAATATCACTAATATTGTGCTACATGGTTCTCAGAAACTATATTTGTGTTTTCATACAAATTCAAGTGCTGTAACAGCTTATTCCATCCAGTATTCGTCGAGCATGTACATATGCATGGTATTGTACCTTTTATTCTTAGTCACTGATTTACATTTATCTGTCCAGATCGCTAAGTCAGCATTAGAAAACCAGACTAGAGAATTTTTTAAAATTGTAATTGACACATTGTAATTGTACATATTTATGGGGTACAACCTGTTTTGATACATATATATGTTGTATAATCAAGTCAGGATAGTGTATCCATCACCTCACAGGCTAGAGAATTTGTTGATTAAATAACCAGTGCCATGTACAGTGCCTTTCGGTTCACGTAGTATATTCTCTAATTCCATCTGAACCTTAAGAGGTAGTTATTATTCCACCTATCTTCCAGGTGAGAAAACAAAATTTAGTCAACAGAATGTATCCAAGAGAATATGGTGATAATAAGTGGTCCTTTAACACTGTGGTCTCTCCCACCATAGGACTGACAGCACACGGACCAGCCCTTGGACGCCAGGCTAACACCTGCATAGTGTCCACTTTGTGCCAGGCACTGTTGTGAGCGCTTTCTTACATGATTTACTCCTCACAGCAGCAAGTTCCCCATCTCCAACAACCAACCCGCCTGTGACATCTCACCTCTTGTATCAACGTCCCTTCCACCCTTAGTTGATCCAGCATAGCCCTTTCTCCGCAGTTTCTGTAAACACCACTCACCCACGTTGGCATCAGTTATAGAGAAGGCTTTTTGTTTTTGCTGAACCTAGAGTAATGGCACAGTAATCAAGGGAACATATCAGGGCATTTTGTTACATGACCGTGCCACGTTTGTTTCATTTTCAATCACAGTGCACAGGAAGAATCTCACTTGACAAGGAAGAATAAATAATCCTACTTTCTCGGAGAGTAGTAATTTTTATACTGTACTTTTATAGGTTTCTTTGGACCAACACTGAACAGTTTTATCCACATTCTTATGTACTCCTATTATGGACTTTCTGTGTTTCCATCCATGCACAAGTATCTCTGGTGGAAGAGGTATCTCACTCAGGCTCAACTGGTATGTCACCCCTTTTCCCAACTCTTCTCCATGTGTTTCGTGGATGGGGAAAGGAACTAGAAATCCCAGCGGTCTCAGAGGCTTTTCAATTCCTGACAGGGCTGCCTATTTTTCTCTAAAAATGGCCTTTTATGAATTGAACTTTGTGTGTTAAAATTTCTTTTGTGTATGCAATGAGCTTATACATTTCTTGCTTTGAAATATAAGTGAATACTTAAATTACTGTATAACAAATCATTTTTATCTAAATCATTTTAACTTCTACTTTTCCATGAGAAGATAATGGGCAGTTTTATATACTTACTAATATAATTTCAAATAAAATTTCTGGGTAGGACAGTGGGCTGCTTCCCCATTTTTATTGTTTTATTCCTGCGAAATTCAGAGGGTCACAGTGGCTGATTACTGAAGGGCTAATGCTTCCTCGTGGTTTTCATGTGGCCCCAGGTGCAGTTCGTGCTGACCATCACGCACACCCTGAGTGCTGTCGCCAAGCCCTGTGGCTTCCCCCTCGGTTGTCTCATCTTCCAGTCTTCTTATATGTTGACATTAGTCATCCTGTTCTTAAATTTTTATGTTCAGGTATGTGAAATGTAAATATTCAGTGGTATAACATAATAGATTGTGCACTTTTGCATTAATTTTATTGATTAAATATTATTGTAGCACATGCTTGCTGATAAATTCAAATAACAGAGTTACACAAAGTAAAAAATGAAACTTGCATTCCTAACTCCTCTCCCCACATCCTCCTTCTTGAAGGGTAACCAAAGTTAATAGTCTACTGGGCATTCTATTACACATTTTTCAATGCATACATATAAAGTTTTATCAAAAGTATCTTTGGTTAGACATACAGTTCTCAGTTTGCATCATGTATTTGCATTGTGCTACCAAAGTCTGGCACCTGAAAGTTAAACGTGTATAATTAAGACAGATCCAGGAAATTTATCTGAATGGAGAAAAACATGGGCTTAATTGAATGTAATGTTAACAAATTATTCCCATATCAGTTACTGTGATGTAGACTTACTGTTTATTTGGAAGAAATTCTTTTAAGGCAAACCAGTGTGAAAAGGTCACATTGACTTTATCAAATGTCATTTTCTTTTTAACAATTAAAATGGAGGAGAGTTTCAAAATGCAATTTCAAAGCAGCTCTGTTGTACATGAACCTATGAAAGCCTCAGGTGGTTGTAGATTTTAAATTGCTCTCCTTTTTGAGCTGGGGAAATGGAAAGCTTCATTGAGAGAACATACATTTATATTTGAAACAGTACTTTTGAAATTGTATCAACTGTATTTTCTTCAGACAAGCGGGAAGTGCATTCTTATAGTTTAGTTTACATTCGCTATAAGTAAACCCATAGTGGTTTTTATACAAAGTACAACTGTGGGAACTGAACTTTTGACAGCTTTTCAGATCTTGTGTTTCTGAAATTGGACTGACCAGGCTTTGTCTTTTATAAGAGATAAAAGTTTCCTTTGAGAATTCCTAAAGAAATAACCATTGTTGGAACCAAACAAAGCCATTCACATACACACATACCAAAAAAAAAAAAAAAAAAAAAAAAAAAAGTTAACTGTTAAAAGAAAGCTAAGGGAATCATTTTGGTGCTTAGTGTTAAAACTTGAAGAGAAGCATGTGGCTGAGCATGGGTAGGTAATGGCATTCAAAGCTTTAACCCTACATTCTGGTTCAAATTGATTCTTAATCCTAAAATTGAGTCTATAATTTGTTTTGACCCTTGTTAATATCGTTGCTTTAAAAATAAATAAATGAGAGATCAGGTATTTTGTCAGAATAGGAAGGATATGCCAAAAACCAAATCAAGCCAGAATCTCAGGTATTGCTACTTTTACAATAACAGCACTTTTTCACTCAAATATTTTTAAAATATCTTTTCCACGTAAGCAACAAATGTGGAATAATTTGAATGCTAGTTCCATAACACACAAATCCTGACCTAATACAGATACGGTGAAAGAAACAACCTCTCACTGAAGTTCATGCATTTGTCTTGATCTTTACTCTATTTTTTTCTTTAACCAGAGGCTTAAAAATGGTCACATTACAAAGAAGAATTCTTACTAGAAAGTTCACTACCTCCCAAAATTGTATACTGTTTTAAGTATGTGCAACATTAGAAACAAGGTCTTATTAAAGAATCTTTCTTTTTCTCTTCAAAATATAAACATCCAACAGACATACCAAAAAAAGCCAATAAAGAAAGACATGCCAGAGCCACGTGCAGGGAACGAAGTGAAGAATGGTTTTCCCAAAGCCTGCTTCACCGCAGCGAATGGAGTGATGAACAGGAAGGCACAATAGAGCAGTGACAGAGGAGGCACGCGTGCAGCCGCACAGACCTGCTGGCCTTCAAGCAAGGACTGAATTGAAAGTTCTGTTTTAGCGAAAACTAACTTCTTTTGAGTTTATAAATCATTTGTACCCAGAATGTATTAATACATTGCTATTAGGTTACTCTTAACTGAATGCTTTGGTCGGCACTGAGGGGATGCTACGTTTTGGAGACCTCAGATCTGGTGCAACTTCTCCCCCTCTCATCCCCTCCCACAGACTTAACCCCTCTCCTGAAACTGTCTCTGTAACGCCTTACACGCATACAAAGCAGGAAACATGTAGGACTGTTTTTCATGGCAAGTCTTCAAATAAAAAATTAGAATTTTATTCAGATTAAAATGTTTAAAACAAAATGTTAACTGTATTTTAAATACAGGTATTCGAATGTACATTAAGCAATAATTGTCAGTGCAGAAAGTGGTCAATTTGGTTTTTTTAGGAATTAACCTCAGAAAATATTAAAATGGGATCATAAATGGAAGACAGGAAGATCTAGCAAAACTTTTCTCTAAGCCAGAGTCTTGTCTGTCAAATTCTTACACCCACTCCTGGTTCTAAATTTACTGATATGGTAATGAAATTTGTATTTTTTTATTTTGAAGATTAGTTATTCTAAGAAGAAAAATATTTTTCTGTCAAGTTCTTATAACTCAGGGGCTTTGGATAGGAGTTGTTTCTCAGTTTTAATTTGGTTTCCTAAATTGTTCATATATCCATGTCTACCTCCCATGTTAGCCTAGTAATAGAGACTCCATGCTTCACACTAAGAGTGGTAGCTATTTCCTTTCTGAAAGGATTGGAATCCAATCTGCCCTTTTCCTTAAAACATGTACGCCACTGGAATATTTATAAATGATAATTAATGGAGCAGTGGGGGCAAAATAGATACTGATTTGTTAAGTATTTCTTGTGAGCCTACTTGTGAATATCATCCCAAATACCTGCTGTCACTCTTTGAAGAATGTTTAGGTTTTTGAAAATAGGAAGAAAAAGACAGAGTGGTTTGGAAAGGTTCCATTACTGAGCCATAGGCTGGTAACAAGCCACAACGAAGACGCCAGTTTGGCGCTGGGTGCATCTTTTCCCTGCTCAGGTGCTGTCCTCTCCACTGAGAAGCAAGCACAAAGCAGATGCAAGCATCCGTGAGTATTTCCTTTCTTGTCCAGCGATGTACCATTATTTACTGTTAAAGTGTACCAAGAATGGAAGCAAAGAATATTTTCCGAAGATTTGATGGAGATTAATTTATATCCTATAAATTAACTTGCCAACTTTGACACCTTATCTTTCCTTTTTTTTAGAATATGTTTTAAGTCATAATATTGACATCAACTGCATAAGCACCAGAAAGGCATTTCACCACTGCCCCAATACGTTACTGTCTAGGGTGCCTTTCTGTCCCTTTTATGCTTTTTATTTTTTGTCCTGAGCTCTAGTTTTGAAATTATTTTCCCTAAGAAAAATTGTAACTGACTTCTCTTTTATTTCATGTAAACTTCCTTTCTCAGGATTCTGGCATATTTTTTGACTAAAAAGGTGACTAAAGCTTAGTATCGTCTTCAGGGAGAATGCACTGTACCCTGTAACATCCCTTTCTCTACTGGTTGGTTCACTTCTGCTGAACAGACATCTTCCTGTTTGATGCTCATTTACTGTTTTTCTAAATCATTTTCTAAATCTGTCTTGCTCTATGGTGCTTAAGCACTACTTCTATCTTGTGTCACCTTATAACTGTATTCAGTGTATTATTCTCTCCCAGCAATTCATTTTAAAACAAGGGCTAGCTTTGAGTATGACTATCATTCCTCGTCTATGACAAAGCACAAATTGGACTAAGGAGAAAGCACCTTGGAGAAACTAAATCTAATTCAGTTTTAGGTCTCAAACATGGACTCAACTGTTACCAGAGTACATTCTAAGTAAAATGAGATTTAGAGAGAAGACGGACATCACTGGTCACAGCATTCAGCTTATTTATAATTGCCAGTGAGGCGCTGAGGTCTCACTGCATATTATGCCTACAATGTGGGATGTTTTCGTGGTCTTCACTTGCATATATCAAGAAGGGAGTCACCCTTCAGCAGACTGATAAAGTCAACCAGCTATAAATACAAGGCTGCTTGACCTCTCCAATCAAAGTGAAGAACTTGGGTAGTTTACACTTTCAAGCTAACGCTGGAGCTGGAGATAGAGGTTGCAGAATACTTATTTCCAATTTGGTCTTTAATTCTAGAGAAGCTTAATAAAACATATAGCCTTAAACCATTCAAGGGCTAATAAACAATGTATATGATTTCTTAGCCACAGAAATTGAATCAGGTAAATATTTTAACCTGTCATTGTGTTACAACTTTAAAACCAAAATATTTACCTTTAATGTGATTTTCCTAAAACAGAATTATAAAAAAAATTTTTTTTGATATCTCTATAATCTGTTAAAGAAAAAAGTAGGAAATTTGTTTTCCCAAATATATTTTCTCTTATTCATGGGAATAAGAAATGAATACTTTAAAGCATACATGTTAATAATTCCTCTAATTTTTTAAACTAACATAATGGAATATTTGCTGAATGGAATTAAACATAGAAATTGATCTATTTAGGCATACTGGGAGATAAAGTCCTCTCTGCCCCTAACAGAGATATATTTCTTATTTTTAAGGCAAAATGGCATTTACTGTGATGAGCAGAAAAGCACTTTGTAGGCAAGAGATCATTCTAGTTCTTTCCAGTATTTCCATATTTTGTGAATGTTTCTGGGGACTTCCTCACTTGGAAAATAAGAATATCACTTTTTCTTTAAAAGTACTTGTATCTTAAGAACATGGTATCATGATTGAGGTGGACAGGGAGGCAAGGAGAAGCCATTTTTCCTTGTAGATAAAAAGCATTCTGTATGATTGTTATATAATAAATTGATTTTTGCACTAAAGTAAAGCATGTTGCAGTTTTTCTTATTTGTTCAAAAAAGGTATTCCAAATGACCTATCACTCAGGGATTTTTTAATAAAGTGATATTTTAGCAACTAATTTTAGATGTTTAACTCTTCATTTCAAGAAGCAATGGGCTTTTACATAATATTACTTTTACATAAGTATTCATATGCCAAGTTAAACTATTTCAGAAAGTGGTTATTCACAGGAAAAATTTAAGGCCAACTAGATAAGCAGAAGATATAAAGGTTATAACAAACAAATTGCTGTATAGAATAATGTGGGGAGGAGCACTAGATTTGTTTGAAGAGAAAATATTAGGTACAAATGACATAGTGTAATGCTCTAAAACCTGGCACTGTCCCTTTACGGAGTGCCTAGACCAAGAGGTGGCCATCCAGCTCAAGAGTGGGATGCAAGTGAGCTGAGGCTTGACCGTGCTGAAGCCTGGGAGAGTCAAGGGCATGCGGCAGGCTCACAGGCTGGTATTTTGTCAATGTAGAGAGTAAGAGTTTTGAATGTGATGTTAAGGATAACAGGACACAGGTCCAAAAGCTGTGCTTAAGGCCTGATTATGAAGTCACTTACATTCCTGTAGAGTAGTGGGTGGGGAAGGACATGTTAAGGAAGCACAGGATGGGGAGAAAGAATAGAAGAGGACGTCACTAACTATCTGAACAGGGGCTAGAGTTTGGGGTGGGTGTGAACATTTTAGAGAGCCTCATCAACTTCATTATCTTCATGATTTTAAACAGTGGGTGGAACCAACTCATTAAAACTTTGTGTTTAAAAATAAAAGATAAATCTTATGTCACTAATGGCAGGTTGCAGACCAAAAGAGCTGCGTATATATAATAAATGTTCACCTAAATAAATCTCTTAACTCCTTTATATAGAGAAAAGCTCAGCATTTCTTTTTATTAGAGCAGGCTTTCTTCCAATCTAATTACATTCACATATTTAAGGAAGAGTTACTCTCCAGGGCATGCAAGCAAACAATCACTCTTACAAGACTAGCTACAGCCACCTAAATACTCCTTGACCTTCAGTAAAACATAACATTCAGTCATGGGGACGGTGGGGAGAGAGAGAAAATCAAAGCTATTGACTTGTAGGTCATCTTTCCATCTTAAACTGAGCTGAGGGAACACTGGAGTAACACGAAAAGGACAAATCTGTAATTCACACCCTCGAGTAATTTGTTTTTTTTTTTTTTTCCTTTTTGTCTTTTTTTTTTTTTCTTTAAGGTGGTCTCAATGGAGGTCAGTTCCAGGAACATCTTGTTTGTAGCTCCTAAAGTGGCCTTAAGGTTAATCTGTAATTTAATCTTTACAATTATGGGCCAAGAAAGGATGGGTACATAATGATAAGGTTTTTTGTTTTTTTTTCCTTTTTGTCTTTTTTACTGACCAGTAACGGGATCGCAACCCTCGGTGTCGTGCCCGTACCGGGGACCGGCAACGGGATCGCAACCCTCGGTGTTGCACCCGCACCTCGCTCAGCCAGTGAGCGGGAACCGGTCTCCACATGGGATCCAAACCCTCGGCAGGAGCACCGCTGCGCTCCCAAGCGGCGCACTCTCCAATGTGCCACCGGGCCGGCCCACACCCTCGGGTAATTTGTAAATGCGGTCACTATGGACCTTACGGGCAACCCAGAAGGAGCCCATTATGAAAGTGTCTGTGGCCAAATCATGTCTGGTGGAGGGAAGGAGGGAAGGAGGCAAAGCCTGGCCGTCCTCAGCACACTCAGCACTCTTTGCATATGTCTTGATGTTTGCATGCACCACAGACTGTAACTAGTTGGATGCCTTAATATTTTCAAGATGTCCCCCAATATCTCAAGCTCATGATTTTTGCAACTTATATCAACTCATCCTCAAAATCTGCTCTTTAAGTCTTGCACCTGCCATAATCCCTCATATCTCTCCCCTCCTTTTCATTCCCAGTACCACTATTCTAGTTGAGGCTTCAATTGCTGCAACAGCCTCCCCCAGTATATTGAATATTGTATTCAGCCTTTATACTGCTACCAGTTTAATCTTCCTAAACCACTGTGTTCATTTTATCATCCCTACTACAAGTCTTCATTGGCTCCTTCTGACCGACAGAATAAAGTCTCTCTAGTCAAGCCAGTAAAGGCACTTTAGTTTGGGCCTAGCTAAATTTAATCCCCACTAGTCCTCCACAGTATTATGGCCTCAAACAAATTCTTCATGATTCTGCGCCTGTTCCTATATTCACATTAGTCCTTCCCCTAATCCTAGAAAAATCATCATTCTTCAAGATTTCAAATGGTTCCTCTCTTCCAGGAAGCCATCCCTGATGACTCCAACAAAAATGACTTCTCCCTCTTCAAAACTCTCGTAGTGCCCAGTTTATATCTCATTTGTGGCACTTGTCACATACAGCCTGGTCCTTTCTAGAATAAGTTCGTAACAACTAAATCACATCTTACCTATACTGACATCCTCCACGTAAGCTAACTCAAGGGTTTATAGAGAACAGTGCTCAAATATATGTTCACTAGCGACTGGAAGTCATATATACTTTTTAGGTATGTTAGTGTAATGGCACTGAAATCTATAAAACTCCAGGTCACCTGAAATTGTGAGCCTTAATTGGATATACAAAATGAAATGAGATTAGTTAACCCCCTGATTTGGGGGACTTAAAAAGTAAGTGCTCTTATACTCTATAAAGCTTACAACAATGTACTAAAACATAGCTCATTAAAAATTGTAAAGAAAAAGATGACAATTGGGGTTATAAACATTTGTTTTAGGCAAATTACCCTATATATTAATAAGACATAATGTAACTGGCAAAGTTCTATAATGAATAAACTGTTCAGTCTACAGTCTTTAACTTTACTTATCCAATCATGAACAAAGTTACTTAAATTATGTAAGTTATATTTTTTACTCAACTGTATCTGCAACTTCATGCACTCAAACTTCATTACAACATTTAGTAATTACCACATGATGAATATTTCTCCTCTGCTGAAGATGACAGTTTTGAAGTGCTGGAGACATGAGAGTATTTGCAGATCAAGTGAGACCTCTTAATAACTCTTATTCAAAATACACCACAGTTTCATCTGAGCTCTTTTCATCATTTTCAAGTTAAACTTCCCTTTCAAAGAGATGCACTAAATTGTATTATATAGATGCTGCTAAAGTTTTTGTTTCCACAAAACTGGAAGACATTTCTCAAAAATCAATTTTACTTTTGAAATCATTAAAGGAAAAAAAGGAATACCAACCAGGTTGCAGAACATCCAGAACTTTCTATTATCTGATCAAATTTTAATACAAAAGGTAAACCTTTGTGAACAGATGAATAGCACAGTTGTAAACTACCAACATATATTCTATTCCAGTTCAGCAGTTCCCCGGGGTTCTCCGCGGAGTGGGGCAAAGTGAACAGGCACAGAGCACTAGAGGACGGCCTGTGTGGCCTGAGCCAACAGTAAACTCCACCTTTAGTGTCCTCTTCAGGTGGTGCAGACTGGTGGAAAAGGAGAACAGTCATTAGCCGGGGCTGAACTATCTGCCTCTTGGTCCCACCGTACTCAGGGAGCCAATATGAATGTCACTCCTTTTTGTTGGCTGCATCTCCAACTCGAAGTTACATCTCACATGGCTGCAGAGAGCCAAAGTCAGTGCCCTAGGTACAAACTGCCTGGAGCCAAAGTTACCCTTAAAAATCTCTTAAACAGTTGGCTACAGCCCAGCCTTATAACCCCAATGTCACAGGTTTGGATCCCTGTACTGGCCAGCTGCAAAAAAAAAAAAAAAAAGGAAAAAAGTCTCTTAAACATGTGCCACTTTGGAGCTGTGCATGCCATCTCTCGACACACTAACTCAGCAGGTGAATTTTTTTCCTCTGGTGTTGAAGAAAAGGCAGCTGTGTCTCGGTTAGTGCATCGGAGGAAGTGGTTGGGGCCATGCTGTATGCAAACCACATGTTGTTAGTAACCAGACTGGCAGGCAGCCCAATTAGATGCTCAAGAGGTAGGTAGCAGCTGATATCAACTGAGAGGACAGATTCTCCCATCCCACGCAAACCCCAGGGCACATGCCCACCGAAGAGAGTGACAACCAGAGTCACCTGTGTGATTTAAGTCATTTCTCCATTTTTTTTCTATGTGCAGCCTAGAAAGGAGAAGAGTAAAAATGAAAGGTAGAAGATGTCTGCCTGCACCACCACCCCCTTTTTTTTAAATGAGGAAAACAGTTTTCATGGAAGCCCAAACCAACAGACTTGTCTCCATCCTTCTGGCCAGATCTGGGTCACAGGACCCGCCTCAGTTGCACAGGAGTCTGGGGAAGTGAGAATTCGACTGGCCACATTATCATTCCCCCCAGAAGTAGGGTTCTTTTAGTAAGGAAGCAGGGGAGAGTCGATATTGGTAAAGAGCAAAGCCTGTCATGCCTGGATTATATGTGCTGGACACAGAAAGAAACGGAGAAATAACTTTAACAGCACAGGTGATTCTGTCTTCCATTCCTCTCAGTAGGCCTTTGCCAAGCTCCCCCACCTCCTTAAAGGACAACAGTTTATATGTAGTTGCTCAAGCCTCAAACCTAGAAGTTGTCCCTGATCCTGCCTTTTCCCCACCTGCCACATCGTCAATCAGCAATCCTTCCAGCTCCTTCTCCACTGCCCACATCATCTGATTCCCCACCCCCAAATACACACGCACCTGACTATTAACCCTCTGCACTGCAACTGGAATAAAATCCGAACTCCTAACCATGGCCCAGAAGGTCCTAGGTCACTCCCACCCCCACCACCCATGGCCCTTCTAACCTCATCTTACACTGCTCCGCTCTCATTCCTTCTGTTTGGTTCTTACTGAATTTCTAGACTATACCAAGCTGCTTATGGCCTCAGAACAGGTGTCTTGGCCATTGCCTGCAAAATGCTCTCCCTGCCGCTGGTTTCACCTCAACCTTTGGGTTTTAGATCAAGTGTCACCTCCTCGGTGAGGTCTGACTTGACCTCTCCTCCTTCCACACTAGCAGTCTTTCATCAGGTTCTTCCTTCTTAGCACTCACCAATCTTGTGAATTCTCTTCTGTTTACTTGTTTACTGTCACTCTATCTTACAATACCCATGAGGTCAGGCACCTCGAGGGTACTGTTCTACAGCAGCACCTAAGACAGTACCCGGCACCTAACACACTCAAACCGTTTATTGAGTGAACGAGCATATACATACTCAGAGAATCTCAGACAAATAGAATCATGTTACATGTGCTGCTTCACTCAACAACCTTTTACTTTTCACTGTGAAATGTCTTTCCAAGTCAATTAATATAATCTGAATCATTCTTTTTGATGGCTACAAAGCACATTTAACCAATGTATTTAACCAAACAGTAGCTGAGCATTTAGGCACTTTCCAATATCTCCCTATCACTATTAAGTTTGTAATACATACTTTGTGTATCTTTGCACATATCCAATTTCATCTTTAAGATAATTTCCTGGAAGTGGAACTGCTGGGTCAACAAGCACAATTTTGGACACTACTATGGGTTAAATGTGTCCCCCAAAAGTTCCCATTTTGGACACTCAACGCCTATTATAACAGTGTTAAGATGGTGGGAAATCCAATTACAGTATTTGAAAGATGGGGCCTTGAAGAGGGGCCCTCATGAATGGATTGATCCATTCATGCAGGAATGGGTGTGTGGGTCTGATGGCTTTAGATGGAGAGTAGATGAGGAAGTTGGCTCTCAGCACATTCTCACCATGTGACACTGACTGCCATGGGGCCCTGCAGAGTCAGCACCCAGAAGGCCCTCACCAGATATGTTTCCCAGACTTTGGACTTCCCAGCCTACAAAACTGTAAGAAATAAGTTCCTTTCCTTTATAAGTTGCCCATTTCAGGTATTCTGTTATAAGCAACAGAAATGGACTAATGCAGACCCTGAAGTAGTTTTTTAAAATCATTCACTTCATGTACTCAAGTTAAAATGAAACAAAACACATCGTTTTTAAAAATAATTACTATACTTTAAGGTAAATAGAACTGAATTCTTATAAGTGTATCTGGATATAATCTACTTCGGAAATCTAGTTCAGACATCTAAATTCAAAGTTGACATCTGTGTAAAAAGTACCATTGTCAAATGCAGTGGGAACGAACAAAATAATATTCAAAGAATCCAACCAGGTGGAGACACCCTGTGAGCCTTTCCATCCCTCATTTCCTAAAGTTGTACTGTTGATTGGTTGGTTTTAATAACGAATTGGTGTTGAATTTTTATCAAATGTGTTTTCCATCCTGAACTTACTGGCAACCAGTAAGTTTGTTATTTATGTGCTTATTCTATTGATAGGGGGTGAAATAGATTTTTTTAATGTTAAGACGTCTGTGCATTCATGATATACACCTACTTCTAATAATTTCTTCTTTTCTCCTCACTACACACATACACACTTATTACTAATACTGGTGGATTATGTTTGCTAATTTTTAGCATTTTTGTATTTATACTAAAATCTGAGACTCATCAATAATTTTCTTCTCATGATTGTCTGTGTCCTGTTTTGGTATCAAGATCATATAAACCCCATAAACTGTATCCGGGACCTTTCTCTTTTCTCCCCTTCCTTGGACTTATTTATATAAGGATTACTTATTTTTTATAAACTTGATAAAACACATTAAATATCAGGATCTGGAATGTCTTTTATAAAGTAAGGATGACCTTTTTTTACACTACCAGTTTAATTTCTTTAGTGATTATTCTTAAGTAACTTTTGGTAATGCATATTATTCTAAGAAGTTATCCATTTCATCTAAGTTTTCAAGTTTATTGACATCTTGCCATTCCTAACATATTCTTATTCTATTAAAGATCTCTACAAATCTGTTATTTCTACCTTAAATTCCAAATTTCAATTATGCCTTCCCTTTTTGTTTTCTTGATCAGTCTGACTAGAAGTTTGTTTATTGTATCAATCTTTTCAAAGAACCAGATTTATGTTTTACTAATCCTCCCTGTGGTTTGTTTTCTATTTTGTTTATTTCAGAGTTGAAAGTCATTACTACCCACTTCTAGTTGCTTTGGACTTGTACTGTTCCTCTTCTGTCTAATTTGCTTTTCAGTTGTGTCTTATTTATTTTTTTTTTATCTCTGCTTGCCCTCATACATTAGAAGCAGCTTGTCAATTACAAAAACAAACAAACAAACAACAAAAAAAAAAACCCTCCGCTGGGCCTTTGAGAGTGGAGGATTGAATTCTTTGATTAACTTAGAGAGAACTGACACCTCTGTGTTATTGAGTCTCCCCATCCATTGGTCCTAATGTTAGTGATAATGCATTTAGTTTCTCCATTAAGCAGGATGCTGGCTTTGGGGCTGAGATTTATCATACTACCGAATACCTAGTTACCACTATTTTATTAGGTTTTATAAAAATTCTAAAACACATAGAGAATTTTTTCAAATGCTTTTTGAAATATGGAGACAATCATAAAGAATTTTCTCCCTAGAACTATTAGTAATTAATGTATTAATAGATCCTAATATCAAATCATCTTTGTATTCCTGGAATAAATCTCACTTGGTCAAAAGATATTATTCCTTTAAGAAGCTTCTAAATTCTGTTTGCCAATATTTTATTTCGAATTTCATCTTAGTTATTTTAAGTAAGACTATTCTGTGCTTCTCTGTGTAATATTTGTTGAATCTTGGTATTGTAATGCAAGATTCATAAAAAGAATGAGGGAATTTTTCTTTTTCTATGTTCTGGAATAGTTTCAACAGCACTAAAATTATACCTCTTTAAAGGACTAGGAGGATTCCTCTCTGATGCAATCTGAACCATACAAGGGATCATCAAAAAGTTCACGGAAGTGAGAAAGGAGGTGCTCAGTTTCCCTAGGCACAGACTATAGGACACACTTCTGCGTTTCAAGCCACTCCTCAAGGTCTCAGGCCCTGCCTCTATGCCCTTCTCTAAAGGAGAATGACTGTTGCTTTTTGGACCTATTTTTGGGATATTGAGACGCAAGGGGCTGGCTTATGCAAATCCAGTGGCTGGGCTTGCTCAGTAAACTGGAGTTTATCCTTTGAATGATCTCCTACTAGGAGTGATAAAGAGCACAGAATATTCTGGAATGTATCTGGTGCATGTAATAGGATTTGACCCCTGAACATGCTCACAAAAGAAACCAACTGAGCACGTGCAAGACTATGTTACATAACAGGGAACCATCCCCTTAAGTGAATGTTCATTTGATAATATGAATATGCATTAGATAGCGAAAGTATAAAAGCTGAATCTTGGCAGTAGGTGGGGGCTGTTTCTCACTTTCCTGGGGCCAACCTGCACTTCACTGGCTGAGGTGTGTGTGCTTTACTTTGTCTTAAGCTCACTTTTAGCAGGTGGCTACTCACTCTCTTGAGCCAGCCTGCACTGTCCTAAACTTTAAGTGTGTATTTCTTACTTTTGTATTAAACTTGGCATGTTCCCTGCTCAGGCTCTTGTGCTATGCCGCACTCTCTCTGTGGTCTATTTCTTATTATATTAAAGTTATTCTCACTTTCTACTGTGACTCTGCCCTAGAATTCTTTCCTGAAGCTGAGTCAAGAACCTGGTAAGAGGACAGGGTGGGTTGACGACTGCTATCGGGCCTCCCAGACCCTTTCCTCCAATTTGTGTTATCTTTTAATTCAATTTTCCACTAACTTTTTGAAGTAGCCTCATACATGTTTGTAGGGTACTTATTTGACAACTTGCTCTTTTTCTTCTATGAACATTTCTCTGTTAAGGTTTCCCATCCATTCAGGAGTCCATTTTGTTATACTGTATTTTCCTGGAAAATTGTCCATTTATTTCAGGTTCCTATCAAAACTTGGATGTGCACAGACATCTAAAAGTTAAAGTGTTAACGAATGAACTCCAGGTTCTGTTTGACTGGTACAGTCTTCCCACCCTAAATCTTCCTTATCTCTCTAATAGGCAACACCATCCATCTAATCGCTAGAGACAGACATCTAGGAGACAGGTTTAACTCTCCTTCCTTTACCTGTTTCTGTCTATCAGTAATTTATTAATTCTAGCTCCAGAACGTATCTGGAATCCCTTCATTTCTCACCGTCTCTGCCACTACCCTCCTGCTTAGTCCCACCGCCCTGGACTCTACAGCCGTCCAGCTGGACTCTCCCCCTCTAGTCTTCATTCCTCCAATCAGTTTTCAACATAGCAGCTGGGATGATTTCCTCAAAATATAAATCACATTTATCTGTTATATACATTACTCTCACCCCCAATGCCTTTGCTCAAAACCCATCCATGGTCTCCCTCATTCCTAGTGAAATTCAAACTTCTCAACATGGCCAAAGAGGCCTTAACTCCTTGAGCGTCTACCACAATCCCAACTTCATTTCAAATGGTTGTCCCCTTACCTTCACTGTCACTGAAGAACTTTCTCGACTCCTTAAAGTTTTCAAGTTCTCCCCAGCTCGACCCTATTGTTTAAACTGTTCACAAGTCCACTACCTTCTTATCCTTGAGACCTCATCTTAAATGTCACTTCCTCAAAAAGGCCTTTGATGACCGTCCATCCCATCTGGAGCTGCCACTCGACACCGTTGCTCTCTGCCAAAGCACTTAATAAACCTGTGATTATTTTACTTGTCTTTTTTCTGTCTTCCTTGAAGGAATTTATTTTTAATGGGGTTGAGGACATATCTGTGTGCTAACCATTGTAGCTCCACATTGTAGCTCCACATTTAGTATTAATGCTTGATGCAGAGCAAGCTCAATTATAAACATCTGTTGAATGAATAAACGGTCCTGACCCAAAAGGAGAAGTTCTAGCACAGGAGAGACTGAGAGAGAGGAGGGAGCGCGGCTGCAGGAATGTAACATGGACAAAGCAGTAGAGCATCACTTGGAGCTTGCTTTCCCCACCCCATTTCCACTGACTGAACAACGCAGCCTTTGTACCTACCCAAGGGACGCAGAGGGGCTTTGGCTTTCCTCATCAAGGCTGAGCTGGATTAAGCCTAGAAGAAATAGGTCCACCTCTTTTTATTACATTCACATTAGGCAATTTCAAAACAGAAACATACGTCTATGCACATAGATATACCATGGAGTTATTTCACAGATCATCACTTGATATTAGATGAGGACGGCCAATGGCAACCCAGGACACCAACATGAGAGGTTAATATTTTCACTTGATTCTATTTTATGCATTGTCTCTGTCAATATTTCTGGTCTACAAAATATGTAGAGGTTATTTCATGACCACCATTCAAAGCACTGAATCCCTAACTCCTTGTAGCTCTATGCTAGCCAGATAAGTGAAGCCATCGCTGACATAAAAACACGACCAAAACCAGACACTGGATACTTGTGCGATCCTGACCAAGCTCACCAATCTCTCTCAGCCTCACAGGGCTGCTGATGTCAAGAGCACGCCATCATCTCAGCTGCAGGACAAGGCAGAACAAACGCAAGTCCCTGAGGGGTGCATGTGTAGAAGAGACGGTTGTTCTTTGAGATATTCTAAATTCACACAGGGGCTTGTTACCAGAGGGAAATGAATGCAAATAATAATTGACATCCAACAATGTTAACTGAAGAGACTGTGTCTAAAATTTCGGGTTTAATCAAAAATAGACGAATTCTCCAGTTTTCAGAAGACTAGGAGTTGTCACCTTTGCTAAAGCTTAATATAGTGCTGCGTTACATCAGCAGTCCTCAAAGTGTGGGCTGGGGAGCCCCTGTAGAACTTCGGGTCCTGTGAGGTCACATCTATTTTGGTAATAATGGTAATGACATTAAAGTGTTTGCTCTTTTCACTCTTACCCTTCCAGAGATGTACAGTAGAATTTCCCAGAAGCGACATGACTCACAACGGATTCAACTCAGAAGCACGTATGAGAATCCAGTTGTCTTCTATTAAGCCAGACATTAGAGTCTTGCAGAAACATAAACCAGTGCTACTTTTCTCAAGTCTCTTATTCTGAAGGCCAGTTATTTTTCATAAAAATCTGTTATATCAATATGTAAAGGTATACGCTGGCTATTTTAAAATAAATATACTTTAAAAATCTCATTCTCGGGGCCGGCCCGGTGGCGCACTGCTACAGTGCGCCGCTTGGGAGTGTGGCGGCGCTCCCGCAGAGGGTTCGGATCCCACATACAGACCGGCCGCTCACTGGCTGAGCGAGGTGCGGGGTGCGACACTGAGGGTTGTGATCCGTTGTCGGTCACGAAAAAAGACAAAAAAAAGGAAAAAAAAATCTCATTCTCAAATTTTAGTATGGAAAATATTCACATAAGCAAAAGCTCTTTGGGGATCCTCAAATGTTAAGCATGTAAAGAGGCCCTGAGTCCGAGAACAACCAACCATGGGCTTTCAGTGAAGATGTTCTAAAAGGGTATCGCCTTTAATCATGTAAACGCCGCACGGAGGGAGAAGAGTGTGCGAAAGGATTTTGAAAATGGTCCATTCTGTCATTATGATTAATTGTGTTACCTGGAGTAAATAGTAGGATGGATAAATCAGATTTTAAAATAATCTTTCTTGCTCTGAAATGTATGGCGTGATCAGATTAATATCCTTCCTAAAACCATTTGCCTTAGATTTCTGTGACAGAAGCTGACTCTCGATTGGCAGATAAAGCTTTAGCTATTACAAATTTTTACAGGAATTCCTTTGATCATTCAAGCAGGAAGAGAACATAAGCATTTTTCCTAGGGCAGAAGTAGAAGAGTAAGAGACTTCGCCCAGCCCCAGGCTCCAAAGGATGGAAAGATGGGACCATGTCCCAAAGGGACAGAAGCACCAGCCTGATTAATTACACTGAAGGGAACTGCAGCAGGAGAAGCCTACATGCTGCTTTAAAAGTTGTGTGTGTATGCAGCTGACCCTTGAACAACCGGGCTTGAACTGTGTGGGTCCACTTATGCACGGATTTTTATCAATAAACATACAGTACAGTACCATAAATGTGTTTTCTCTTCCTTATAATTTTCTTAACATTTTTCCTAGCTTACTTTATTGTAAGAATACAGCGTATAATACATATAACATACAAAATATGTGTTAATTGACTGTTTATATTATTGATTAGGCATCTGGTCAAGAGTAGGCTGTTAGTAGTTAAGTTCTGGGGGAGTCAAAAGTTATATTCAGATTTGCAGCTGCTCAGGGGTTGACACAACAACCCCACATTGTTCAAGGGTCAACTGTGTGTGTGTGTGTGTGTACATGTATATGTAATATAGAGAATATATTCTATCAAGAACATGATTTCTGTATAGCCAAAAATCAACTGTATACTCAAAAGCCTAAATATTTTTCTCAAAATCTAATCATTTTAATTTTTTAAAATATTGCTTAAAAAATAAAATAATTTGGATCAAAAACATACAGAGTTGGGTGATCCTGTCATGCCTTTCAAAATTTACACTTCTTGATTGATATCATTAGCCACACTCTTCTCAGGGAGGTGTCACGGAAGTGGCTGGTTTCAAAGACATAGTTGAATATTTAGCTACTCACATGAGTTTTATCAACACCAAACACCCATGCACTAGCAAAGGCATTACCTCATGCGTCAACTGAGACACTTCTAGAAACAATACTTTAAAAAGTACCTCTGCATTTGCACGTCGCAGAATGATTTCAGATCAGCAGACTGTTTTCCCCAAAATTCCTAAAATCAAACAAAAGGTTTAAGTAGCTCGCAGTTATTCTTCCCTAGAAAAGATCCTCTTAAATCACAGAGAATGTCTGAACAAAAAGAACTTACCAGAACATCCTTCTCAAGGTGTTTGAGAGCCCGAATATCTTTCTCAAGATTGCTCAACTCTTGAAGAACAAAACTGTGAAACTGCTCTAGTTTATGGAGCCTGATAAATGTAAAAGCAACAAATTTCACTGGGACTGTCTGGATGTGAGGAAAGACATTCTTAACTAGTCCTCTTACTACAAGAATACTTTGTAATTCCCAGACATTTTTTGCTATAAGAACATGTAGTTATCTCCCTTCTTTTCCTTTCCCTCCCTGCCCACTCATCCCCATGCTCAGGAGCCTAACTATGCAAAGCCCAGAAGCAGCTGCTAGTTCAATGTTACTCTCAGGACAGCACAGGACAGACAACTCCAGGGGACAGGGGACAGGAGACTGGGAGGCCCCCCTTTCTCCTGCCTTCAGCTGGTCCTGCAAGGTGCATCAGGAATGAGCTAATATGCAATCTTCCCCCTCTACATTTCAGTCCTAAAATTTCCAACAGTCGCTGTTCTGTGTCTAACCACCATATAAATCACTTCTTTGCTTGCTCACTGTTTCTCTTCTCCCTCAGGCTGAGCTGCTTCTCACGCTCTCACACCGAGCCCAGGCCTGGCACTGCGTGCTGCTCAGGGCATGAGCTGAATGATGCATAGATGAGAGTAGGCCTGAGCGATAATGAGAGCTCCTCAACTCCAAAGGGCTTGTTTTGACATTCAAATGCCATCACATGCATACAAGAGTTTTTAAAATATTGTAAATTTCTCTTCAAATAATGTGTTCTACCCTAAGAAACTTTCTACCTGTTAAGCAAAACTGCTCTCCATCTCTTCCTTTCCCTCCTTCATTTATAGCCCTTCTCTCCAATAAGGAACAATCTCTATACTCGTCTCCTCTGTTCCGTTCAAATCTTTGGTTCCATAATCTCATTCAAGAAGTACTTGGACTGTAAAAGCCCTGGATCGACTCTGCTCGCTACAGAAGCCCATCCCTCCACACCCTTTCCCATTTTCACATCCTCGGAATTCTTGGCATCTCCGTACTTCTTGCTACCTGGTCATAAGTGTGTGCGTATGCGCGTGCAAATGTGTGTGTAGTGTTATCTCATCATGGTGAAATATACACAAAATTTACCCTCTTAACCATTTTTAAGTGTACAGTTCAGTGGCATTAACCACAGCCACTTCCATTTCCAGAACTGTCCTTCATTTCAAACAGAAACTCTGTACCCGCTAAACAATAACTCCCTTTCCCCCCAACCTCTCGCAACCCCTATTGTACTGTCTCTATGAATTCACCTATTCTAGATACTCATTTAAGTGGAATCGTACAGTATTTGTCCCTTTGAGTCTGGCTCTTTCCCTCAGCATAACGTTTTCAATGTTCATTCATGTGGCAGCATGTGGCAGAATCCAATTCCTTTTTAAGTCTGAGTAACATTCCACTGTATGGTTATAACACATTTCATTTATCCAGCATCTTCTACATACACATCCATGTTTGCTCTGTCTTCACAACTGGATTATACATTTTTTAAAAAACACAGGATTTTAGGATCATACAATGGTAGACATAAAGAGGCTTAAGGATGGCATTTAGCTCAACCCCTCATCATGCTGATGAGGAACCAGAAACCCAGAAGGGTTGAGTGATGCATCAAACCTCCCATCTGCTCAGGCTTCGACTCCTCCAGGCCTCAGAGCAATGTCATGAAATAAATCTCTGTGAGTGATCATATGTCCATGAACTTGTTTTTGAAATTCAATACAGTCGTCTCTTGGTATCCTCAGGGACTGGTTCCAGGACCCTTGAGAATACCAAAATCTGAGGATGCTCAAGTCCCTGATACAAAATGGTGTAAATTTGCCTATAACCTATGCACATCCTCCCTGTACTTTAAATCATCTCTAGATGACTTACAATACCTAATACTATGGTAAATGCTATGTAAATAGTTGTTATATGTGTTGGGTTTTTTCATATTATTTTTTGTTGTATTATTATTATTTATACTTTTTTCCCCAAATATTTTCAATGTGTCATTGGTTGACTTCAAGGATGTGGAACCCACGGACACACACAGCCCACTATACTTACCTGCACAGTTGTATCTGGTTTAAAAGTTTTATTAGGCAATCTGGTGTTTCCTTTGCATTTTCTGAAGAAACTGGACTCTTTCTGTACTTAAGCTAAACCATAACAACAATACAAAAAAGTCACATTTAGATTAAACAACTTCATAAGTTGAATGCATACCTTGTATTAAAAAGGTGCTACCAGTACACAGTAATATTCATAGCACAGTTTTTTAGTAGTAATGTTTGCTAAGTCACCGTCTTACACACCTTTCAGGTATTCCCTCAGGTTGGTACCAATAAAGAACAAGATAAGATACAAAAACTTATATTTGTGCTATCATACATAGTATAAATATTGAATACTACGAAGAAATTTCCACTCTAAATCGACTTACGTTGGTATTACAGAAAATAAGATAAGACTTTGGAGATACTCTAAGTTAAACGAATGTTGGTTAGGGTAAGATACTTTTCTCAAATGAGCTAATAAATAAGTCATTAGAAAATTATAACAGGGGGCCGGCCCGGTGGCGTGCTACTACAGTGCGCCGCTTGGGAAGCGCGGCAGCGCTCCCGCCGAGGGTTCAGATCCCACATACAGACCGGCCACTCACTGGCTGAGCGAGGTGCGGGTGCAACACCGAGGGTTGCGATCCCGGTCCGGTACGGGCGCGACACTGAGGGTTGCGATCCGTTGCCGGACACGAAAAAAGACAAAAAGGAAAAAAAATAAAAAAGAAAATTATAACAGAACAAGAAAGGAAAGGACTGAAATGGCTCCAATGTTCATCATTTAGACAAGGTTTTGCAACAGCCTGCATGTGCAGTGTCTCAAAGACTCGCTGCCACTCATCTGTCATCCACCTACTGATGACCTGTGTCTTCCAGGTTCCTCTCTTGTCCTCACCATTCCCTCTCCCTGCTCCTTGTTTCAGTCATTGCTACTAATGAGACGAAACTATGAGTCTGATTTGCAGTAAGTCCATCTGGTCCCGCTGGAGCAAAGGGACTCACAATAGCTGTCTTATAAACACAAACTACAATTCACAAAGGCACTGAAATCAGTGAGCACAGCTAAGGCAAGTTCTCCTCCCCACAGGCTCAGAAGCACCTTCACGTATGAAGGAGAACAACAGTACTGGTGAACAACATGAACTTGCTACTTTAAACTCATAAGGAGCTAGTTTTTCTTTTTTTTAATGGTATATATTCAAGGTATATATGTTTTGATATAAATATACAATGTGAAGTAATTATCACAATCAAACTAACATATCCAGCACCTCACATGGTTACCTGTGTGTGTGTGTGTGTGTGTGTGTGTGTCTGATAAGAACACTTAGGATCTATTCTCAGCAAATTGCAAGTATACATTATTATTAACTATAGTCACCATGCTATACATTAGGTCTCCAGAACTCACTCATCTTACAACTCAAAGATTTGTGCACTTGGACCAATATCTGCCCATTTCCCCTACTCCCCCCAACCCCTGGTAACCGCCCTTCTATTCTGTTTCTGAGTTCAACGTTTTTAGATTCTACATCCAAATGAGATCATGCAGTATTTGGCTTATTTCACCTAGAACAAGATAGCTTTTCCTTTTTGATAAGACTATTACCTCGTAATTTTTCAGTTCTCTAGTGAAGTTCTCAAAAATCGTAATAATGGTAGAAGCGTCCGAGGTCTCTGGCGTGGCTTCGAGGGATGAAGCAGAAATGCCTTTTGAACAACAGAGATAAAATATTAAGTAAAACAAAGTACTCCAAGTGGATGTGCTCAGTCTATCAGCTGCCCAGAGGATGGGACAATAGGTTAGAAGCACAAATACGAACCACAGGAGACCCACTGGCTGCCCATCTGGGACCCCTCAGCATGGCGGGCTCTGTCCATGACCATACAAGGACAGCCCTGTCAAGGCCAGGTGGCAGGTCCCTCACGCTGCTTCCCACCAAGCGTGGCTCTCTGGCAAGTGCTCATTTCATCCAAACCTTCCCAGCACTTTACATCTGAGTAACTGATATTATGTCTAAGAAGCAGGCTGAGCTGTTGTAAGAGGTTTGAAGGAGGACCTAATGGTTAGGACAATTCGATGGGGGAAACCTGCTGTAACAGCTTCTGGGAACCAGTCTTCCAAGGGTTTACGAGGGGGTCTGGCACAATCCCACAGGATTTGCATGCAGTAACTCATTTTTTTCTCACAAAAATCATGCGAAATAAGTGCTGTTACAATCCACATTTAACAGAGAGGTCACAAAACTTGCACGAGCTTACACCAGCAGCTCCAGGATTTGAACCCAGGTTGTCTGCCACCACTGCTTCCAAATTTGCCTCTTTGGGGCCCTTCATTTCAAAATATTTGGTACCATTCAGAAAGGCAGCCCCCCACACAGGCACGTCATTTTCCTTGATTTGTATAGATTATATATTTCTAACAAAAATTTAGTTAATAACTAGCCACTAAAGCAGAGACCTATAACTTTAAGAATGCTCGGCCCCTGAAAATTGCCATGAAGAAGAGATAAGGGTGGAAATCAAAATGTTAGAAGAGACGGTGCTCACTTTTATCTACATTTCTGCAACAATGTACTTGTCTCTGAAAGGACAAAATGCTTAGTGTTTAGTCTTCTGCAGCTACTAAAATGTTTGTGACCCATTTCTCACGCTCCTACTTGAACAGCTGGCTGGGTGCAAGATGTTCGCTGCCAAGTCTATGTCTTCTGTTACTAAGGAAAGGGATCCTGAAGCATCAAGATAACCTCGATTGTCTCCACTCAGCAAAACTCCTGTCTGGTATGTCTAAAGGCAAACACAGCACACTGATAACCCCACACACACACCTTTTGTCTCAAATGTATTTTGTCTTCTTCTCACCAGTTAATATCTAACCTTGACAAGCAGAAAGTGGAACTTGTCCCCTGCCTGTTACTAATTACTTATCATTTGGTGCATCGACTAAACACAGCCCAAGTATCAAAGCATTAAGTCTACTGATGCCTGAAAGAGGACAAACGGGAACAGGCATCCCTTTGATGAGCTCAGTTACATTTAGGAACGCTCTGCTCAGCAAGGTACAGACAGACTCTTTAAGCAGAGCGTTCCTAAATAAAGCAGTGATGGTGGGCATAGAAAACGACATCTCTGAGGTTCTGGGCTAAAGGTTTCCAGGCAGATGGGTCTTCGGAAGCTCCTCAGATCACACGCCCCCAAAAACGCCACCTGCTGGTGACACTGGGGCTGCAGCACCATGCTGAGGGTTCCCTCACAGAGGCCATCTTGGAGCCTCACTAGCTCAAGTGGCTTTGAGAGCCTCTGGGTATGAGACCCAAACACAGATCCTCATGTCAATCTAGCATATCACTACATGTTTTCTATTCTAGTGTTCACTTTCACCCAAACACGTCCTCTCCCAATGTAGGCCTCCCCAGTCCTATCAACAGCACCACCGCGGTCAGCAGAGCCCTAGTGTGCGCTCAGCTCCTGCATCTCCTCACGGCCACATCTCCTCCATCACCAAGGCCTGAGGTCCTGTGGAATGAATCCTTCCCTCCCTCTGCGTTCCCACACGCGGCCCTGCCCAAGGCCAGCTCCCTGGAGGGTCTCATCGGTTCTACATCTTCCACTGTCACCTCCCAAATCTCTCTCGTCTGAGCTCTCAAGTGGCAAACTTGTCTTCCCAGCTGACGACTCAACCTCTCCATCTCCAAACCCATCCACTCCAGTTCCTCCCACTTAAACACTTTCTTCCCACCACACCCCTTGCGTGTGACCTGACCTTCTCCCCCACCCTTTCTTCACACATCTAAAAATTCTGGAATCCAGTTTCACTGCTACACTCCATGAATATCTGGATGTTACTACGTACTGGGAGCTGTGCCATGTGTTTGGCAGACAGTGGAGAAACAGAGGCCAGTGTCCCCTCTTCGCTCTGTTCCTCTGGTCTCCTTGTGGTTCCTCAGACAGCCCAGGCACATTCTAACCTCAAGGCCTTTGCAGCTGGCATTCCTCTGACTTGCCCCGTACAACTGCACTGGGGCTTCCTCTGGCATGCAACCCACAATTTCAATACAGCCCCCAACTTTTAAACCCCCTTCTCTGCTGGATTTTTTTTTTTTTTAGGCTTTATGACAATATAACATACTACATGTTTTACTTTTCTCATGTATTATCTGTCTCCTCCACCAGAAGGTAAGCTCCAGTAAGGGTAAGAATTTTGTTTGCTTTGTTCACTACAACATCCCTGACACCTAGAAAAGTGCCTGGCACATAACAGACACTCGATAAACATTCCTTGAATGAGTGAATGAAAGCTGCAGAATAGCCAAGCTTTTACGAATGAGATCCCTGATATGACCAAAGAGGGTCTCAGTAAAAGAGATAAGAATCTATTCCACTTCTCTTATACTAGTGTTAAGGGTAGAGGAAGAGAAGCACCACGAATTTTGGAGATCCAAATACCCACTATGTATAATAAACAGAAATGCATAAGTTTAGGATTTGAAGATCTGCTAAAACTACTTCTTGCAGGGAGCTGTAGATATACTAATTTTTAGAAATAGCACCACAGTGGGCCGGCCCGGTGGCACACTGGAGAGTGCGCCGCTCCCGCTGAGGGTTCGGATCCCATGTGGAGACTGGTTCCCGCTCACTGGCTGAGCGCGGTGCGGGCGCAACACCGAGGGTTGCGATCCTGTTGTCGGTCCCCGGTACAGGCGCAACACCGAAGGTTGCAATCCCGTTACCGGTCAGTAAAAAAGACAAAAAGGAAAAAAAAAAAAAAAAAGAAATAGCACCACAGTAAGAAATGCCAGGCATAAACTTCAATGTGACAGAAGGAAAAGAAAAAGAATTTTGCTGTTAAAATTATACAAAATAGAGAATAGTCAGGGTTAAAATAGTTCATATTCTGCAGTATAATAGAAGACATATCTTTCAGAAAAATTAATAACCCAGACTTAAAATCCAACTTCGATTATTTTTATTAAAAGGAAAAAAAAAAAAAGAAATAGCAAAACAAGAGAAGTGACAAGTACCTACTGAGAGAGAAAAGACCGATCTCAAAGCAGGAAAGACTAAACTAGTAATATATAAATAAAGTGATACTTGAATGATGAACTTAATGGGACGCCCTAGCTGGTTTGCTATTACAGCATTTTCATAAACTGGTAACTTCATCAGAGATCACATTCCCACTCTGGAGAACTTGGAAAAGAAAGAGCCCAAATCCAGCCTCTGTGTAATGAAAAATGAAAGGCATAGGAAATGCTCTCAATTGTGAGAGGTACCTTCCAGGAGCCAGTATCTCTTCCCATTGCACTTAGACTTAGGGGTGCTCATTTTTTTTCTTTTAATGTTTACATGGATACTTTCTAGGGGGATGCATTGTTTCAAGGGCAAAAGATTTTTAAAAACCAAGGAAGAACCCATGTGCACCTCCATCCTCTTCCAGTCTCAAAGCAAACAGCACTAGTGCTTCAGTCTCTCATGGTGTCTATACCCAAAGAAACCACTTAGGATTCCAGCTATCCTCAGTTAGGGCTGATGAACAACCACTGCATTTCTGTCCTTGCTGCTTGTTCTGCCCCTTCTGGGACTTTTTTTTTCTTACTTGCTGATGGCATATTTGTAGCAACAGCCCAAAGCACGGCCTTGAATTTGGATTTATCATGTCCAGGCACCACCCGTGGTAAAGCGGCTCATCTGTCTGCACCGACATGGGTAATATCCAACAGAGGGAGGAATCCAGGAATCATGGCGTAAGTAACCTAAGCGGCCCCTGATTAAGCCACTTGGAATTTGTGAACCTTCCAACAAGGGATCCTCCAGATGGATGACTTCAGGGATGTGAAAACAGCTGAAGTGGCAATGCTGGTAAAGCACTTTACCTGTACCAAAGGTGTGATTCTCCGAGGAGCCAGCCCTCTGCCATGAAAGGCTGCAAGTCCCAAGTGATGGCTTCAGCTCAGTTTTGCTGCCGTGGAAACCATATGCTTCTTTTCACTGGCACTTTTCAACATCCCCATAAAAGGGTTAAAACTATACACACAAAACACTTCAAAAATGAACACGAGCAGAGCAAACTGTGGCTGAGAGATTTCAGAAGAATGCTAACTCCTTGTGTTTGCTGGTGCTGGAAGAGGGGGTATGTGCCTGCTCTCCCCGGGACTCACCTCTCATCACTTCCATAAAAATTGAGGACTCCTGCAATCCGAGAAGTTTCCCAACTTATTTTGGCTGGCCACTGGGTCCAAGTTTTAGTCAATGTAGTTTGGTGTCCATGTTTCACTTTTTATTTATACTTCTAGTGAAATGATTTTTAATGCTAGAACAGAACCAACTCTATGGGTAACAGCCACGTTCCACTAAGTTAAGGCATTTTTTAAATCTTACACTGAAGTGACACCCTGTGGCCTAGAGTGATAAAGGCCCACAGTCTTCATTGGGCAAGAATACAGTCTTCTTTACCAAAAGATCCTCAGTGTGACATTGACGGCACTTTCCCACTAACAATTCCTTTATTTATTCTACCAATGTTTACTAAGTGCTGAGAATATAAAAAACTAAAGACAATCTTTACCATTGAATTGTTCAGTCTGATGCAGATTACTGAAATGTCTTTTGTATGAATTAAATGCATTTAAAAATCTGCAAGTTAATTGAAAATAAATATATATTTGAGACTAGGTATAAATGCTTATTCAAAAATGGAAACATGCAAAGGTTCATCGTTGAATGTTGGGTTTTCTGTTTCTTACTGCATTTCCTCAGCACACACTCACTGGATGCCTCCCCATGCCAGGCATTGAACTAGGTGCACACAGCACCTGAGGGAATGAAGTCGCTCCCTGCCTCACTCCCTCCCTGTTCTGGAGGCCTCTCCATGAAGGTAGATGAGGGTAAAATGCAAAATCATAAATAAAATTATCCTGCTGGCTTACTGTTCCGGAAATGTGGCACACCCAAAGTTCCAGGATAAACATTAAAACACAAGATGACATTGGATTGAGGCTGCTGTAAAGATCAGCAAGGGGCTTGAGATGTTTCAAAAGCGACTGCTTTTTCTGAAGAAAATTACCTGGGCATCCCCTTTAGGGGAAGGCATACCTGCCCTCGCCCATGGGGCTGAAAAATCCAGTACCCGATGCAATGACACAAAAAATGTAGTATTCGACTGTACATATTTTAGTCATCCAAAAAAATAGAAATAAAGCCATTAGTAATGGTTTTTACAAAGACTTCATCATTTTACTCGCTCTTTTTAAATATAAAACCTACACCCTAAGCACTATTAAAAGAAATGTGAGCATTTGAGAAGGGGGTTCTAATTCGTCTTTTTTCTTAGAAGATGGCTCAAAGCAGGATGGCAGGAATGCGGACAAGCTGATGACAGGACCACAGCGCTGACGTTCACGGCGGCGGCCTCAGCAGCAGCGAACACGTGCACGTCTTCACCCAGCCTCACCCCAGCATCTCACCGAATCGTCACAACTACTCAGTGACGTTCCCTTCCACATGGTGACGTAGGTTGCTTCAGAGGAGCCCGCAAGATGGTGAGTACAACAGGCTGATCAGGATCTGCTCTTCTCAGGCCACCGCAGGTTCCTGTTTCGCTTGGCCTTGTGATCAGCCTCACATCAAAGACCCCAGGAAAGCCAGAGACGATAACAGGACCCTCTAAGAACATGGACTCAACCTGCAGCCCTGAAACTTCACAGCACCCCCAAACTGATGCCCTACCTGAGACGTGCTCTGGGCAGGGAAGGCTGAGAGATCATCTGCTGGCCATGACTAAGACGTAG